GGAGCCCATGGGGGTCCAAACATGGAGAGCCAAGATGATGGATGTGGTACTGGAGACTCATGCATCAACATGTTAGAGAGACTACCAGAGAGAGAGGAGAGGATAAACCCCGCAAGGTTGGACCTTGTATCAACCATGAGTAGTTCGGACATCGAGGGTATCATGTATGAAAGGCCCCTGGAGCTAGTGATCATGTGGTTCTGTGCTTCGACTCCCATAGTTGAGCTCCAAAGTGGAGAGAGTAGCAGGAATAGGCTGGGAAAAACCAAACTACAAAAGGGGGAACTACTCAGGCATGAGGAACTTCCTTCAAGACATTCAGGGGGAGAGGGAACTGACGGGAAAAACCAGTACAAGAAATGATGGACTATGTAGCAACAAAATGCAAGGAGGCAGAGGAGAGGTTTGTTTCCAAGGGAAACAAAAAATAATGGGAAGAACAAACGAGTCCTTGGTTCACCCAAAGGTGTAGGGAGGCAAAAACTAGGTGTACTAGAGAATGGAAAAGGTTACAGAAGACAGAGAACTCAGGAAAATAAAGAAATCAGCCGAAGAGCCAGAAACGAATATGCACAGATAAGAAGGGAGGCTCAGAGCCCAATATGAAAATGACATAGCATAAAAAGTAAAGACTGACCCGAAGCTGTTGTACAGCCACATCAGGAGGAAAACAACAGTCAAGGACCAGGTAATCAGACTGAGGAAGGGTGATGGGGAACTCACAAGAAACGACCGAGAGGTATGTCAGGAGCTCAACACAAGTTTTTAAAGAGGTATTTACTTTGGAAACCGTAGGACTCCCAAAAAATCAGAACAGGGGGCACACCAGCAAGTGTTGGATGAGGTTTCATATAACCAAGGAGGAGGTGAAGAAGCTGCTAAGCGAAAATTGACACCTCAAAGGCGGTTGGGACCAGACAACATCTCTCCATGGGTCCTTAAAGAGGGAGCAGAGATATTGTGTGAGCCATTAAACAAAGATCTTCAACAACATTTGAAACTGGGCAACTCCCTGAGGTATGGAAAATGGCAAATGTAGTCCCAATTTTTAAAAAGGGAGACAGACATGAGGCACTAAACTACAGACCTGTATCTCTAACGTGTATAGTATGCAAGGTCATGGAGAAGATCATCAGGAGGAGAGTGGTGGGGCACCTGGAAAGAAACAAGTGTATAATTGACAACCAGCGGTTTCAGGGAAGGAAAATCCTGTTGTCACAAACCTACTAGAGTTTAAAGACAAGGTGACAAGTAAGACAAGAGAGAGAGGGGTGGATCGACTGCGTATTTTTGGACTGCAAGAAGGCTTTCGAAACGTTCCTCACAAGAGGTTACTGCAAAAAGCTAGAGGGCCAGGCACACATAAAAGGAAAGGCACTGCAATGGATCAGAGAATATCTGACAGGGAGGAAACAACGAGTCATGGTACGCGACGAGGTGTCAGAGTGGGCGCCTGTGACAAGCGGGGTTCCACAGGGATCAGTCCTAGGACCTGTGCTGTTCTTGGTATACGTGAACGACATAACGGAAGGGATTTGACTCAGAAGTGTCCTTGTTTGCAGACGATGTGAAGTTAATGAGAAGAATCGAATCGGACGAGGATCAGGGAGGACTACAAAGAGATCTGGACAGGGTACAAGCCTGGTCCAGCAACTGGCTCCTTGAATTTAACCCTGCCAAATGCAAAATCATGAAGATTGGGGAAGGGCAAAGAAGACCGCAGACACCCAAAATAGTTTAGATGGCCAAAGACTGCAAACCTCACTAAAGGAAAAGATCTGGGGGTGAGTATAACACCGAGCATAAACTCCTGAGGCGCACATCAATCAGATAAAATGCTGCAGCATACGGGCGCCTGGCAAACCTACGGATAGCGTTTCCCATACCTCAGTAAGGATTCATTTAAGACTCTGTACACCATCTACGTCAGGCCCAAAACTGGAGTATGCAGCACCAGTTTGGAATCCACACCTAGTCAAGCACGTCAAGAAATTTAGAGAAAGTGCAAAGGTTTGCAACAAAACTAGTCCCAGAGCTACGGGGATTGTCCTATGAAGAAAAGGGTTTAGGGAAATCGGCCTACGACACTGGAAAGGCAGGGGGCAGGGAGACATGATAACAAATATAAAATACTGCGCGGAATAGACGAGGGGACAAAAACGGGATGTTTTCCCGAGATGGGACACAGACACCCAAAAGGTCACAATTGGAAGTTGAAGACTCAGATGAATCAAAGGGATGTTAGGAAAATATTTCTTCAGTCAAAAGAGTAGTCAGGCCATGGAAAAAGCCTAGAAAGTGATGTGGTGGGGGCAGGAACCAAAACATAGTTTTAAGGGGAGGTATGATAGGCTCATGGGGCAGGGAGAGAGAGGACCTAGTAGCAATCAGCGAAGAGGCGGGGCCCGGAGCTGTGACTCGACCCTGCAACCCCAAAAAGGTGAGCACACACACACACACACACACACACACACACACACACACACTCCACTCTCTCACCCCCACTCACCACACACCCCACACCCCACACCCCACACACACACACACACACACACACACACACTCTCTTCTCTCTCTCCTCTCTCTCTCTCTCTCTCTCTCTCTCTCTCTCTCTCGTTTACTCACCCCTGACCCTACATTAAGACTACAAATATTTTAACATAAGTAATGAGCGAACTGTATATGCATTTTATCACTCTGGGATGCTTAAATATCATAGAATATTATGTGTGGATGGGGTGGTTTGGTATGGTAGCCGGGCTGGCTACCACACATACCGCACTTGATTTCTTACAATAAATACTACTCATCTCACCCTACAAATATTTTAAGGTAAGTAATGAGTGAACTGTATATGCATTTTATTGGCGAATTCTGTTTGTCTGTCATCAGACAAATAGTATTCAAATACCAAGGAAGAATACCTGCAATAGACCACCCACCAAATTATCAACTACCTTCTCGTCTGAAGCATGGTGATCACTTCCTGGTAAAACTGCCTGCTACTGCTTTCAAGAAAAAGGCTCAGAAGAGGTGTTACGTCTTGCACATACAAAAAAACGCCCACAACAACACAGAGACACTCATTTTATGTGTGAGGAGTGCAAAACACCACTGTGCATGACACCATGTTTCAAAGAGTTCCACAGGCTGCAGAACTTCTAGAAACATTCCCTGTGACTGTATATTGTATATAAAATATAGAAAAATTGTAATAAACAACATTTCATATCGTTTGTTTGTGTAAATATTTTTTTATAAACAAAACAATGACAACAGTGTTTACACCCTCATTGTGTAGTATTGAAAAAGAAAAAACTTACAAAATAGTGCTCATATTGGTCTCACAGGCCATAAAAGTTACTTGGAAAAAGAAAAATTAATAAATAATAGAAATTAGTACATAAGAAAGTAAATAAAAGAATACCGGGAGACAGCAGTCGGCGATGTTGCCACATTGTCCCCCCTTTTCATCAACTTCACGCCTTCATATCTCGGCAAGTATTGATGGTAAAAATTTTTTGTTTAGCCTATAATATTTAAAAAAAAAAAAACTATTTTTTCATAATAAAATTTTTTTTTTTTTTTTTTGAAATTTGGCCAACTCTGAGAACGAGTCTCTGAGAGGACCTGTTGACCCTCAAAGGGTTAAAGGAGGGGTTTGGAATATGTATTGGCAATTTGGAGGGATGTCTAAGCTGTCGTATCTCTACAAAGACAGTGATTATGTATGAGTGAAAGCATTCATTGATGATGAAAGTTTTTTCTTTCTTTTTGGGTCACCCTGCCTCAGTGGGAAGTGGCCGATGTGTTAAAAAAAAAAAAACAACATTCCATAAGACATTATAAAGAATAAAGATTTTATTTCTTTTTAAAGGTTACAATGTGTAATTACAATTTTGGTTAGCTAAGTGCAAAGAAAGTCACTATCATGCCAGGGCATTTCAGGCAGATTAATCCTAGTACAAAATAACTACTTAAATCTAGACAAGATAAGAGTGGTTAACTTGTATGAAAATCTTTAGTTAACCTTAAACTAATGCAAGGTAGTCAAAGTGGAGGTTTATAAGAATAATCTTGAAGTTGCACAAAATGAAAACAATATTATAAATAATGGTTCAAACAGTAACATTTCATGGATTGACAGATGTTTAATAGACTAGAGGTCATATGATACAATATTTGGGTGAGGTGCTTCAAACTGACTAGAAGTTGTTTTGGTTAGTTTGATTAGTACTGAGAGATGAGATTATTTTTAAGCAAAGTCCTAAATTTATATGTAGTCAGGGGATCCTTTACTGGTTCAGGTAGTGAATTAATTCCAGACCTTCAGGCCCTTTATGTGCATTGCATTTTTGCATAGTGTGAGACTGACATGAGGGATGTCAAAGAGTGCCTTATGCCCTGTGTTGCAACTGTGCATTCTGTTGTAGCTATCAAGAAGTGTAAGTGGAGGGTTTATACTGGAGTTTAATGTTTTGTATATGTAGCAGGCACAATAATACAAGTGCATGTCTTGTATATTTAGTAAGTTTAGACTTTTGAAAAGTGGTGGGGTGTGCTGTCTAGCACAGGAGCTGGTAATCCTCCACACAGCAGCATTTTGTTGAGTGGTTGACTGTATTAAGCAATACAGGTCTCCCTCACTTTATGAGGATATGCTTTATGTGAATTTCCTATTATACAATGTCGTCTTTCTATTGGTAATTCCATGCAGTATACGCAATTTATGATCAATGCCACTGATTGACACAATTTGCAAAGCATATTGGATAATTTTATTATGAATAATTAAGCATATATGGCCTTGAACACTTCTACAGCATAAAACAAAGTATAGTAAACATATTGCAAGAATTGTTAGTGGATCCTCTACTCTTTACAGTCATGTCTGTTGTTTAAGCTCATATCAATAATATTAACTAGAGAACATGTATTCATATTATAAAAAATAATAAGAATAATTCAGTAATATAATTTTTTCATGATATTCAACTTACCATATCCCAGAAAGTAAGGTATTTAAATGGTCCACCACCAATTTTCCTCAGTTCCAAAAAGTCTTTTGGGGGGCTTAGTTCAAACAAATACACATTTATGCCATATCCATAGTGAATGGCTATGATTAGGTGGAACAATGTTGTTGGTATATTCATTGTGATGAAACCCCAGGCCTTGCTCTACATAAAACCTGCAGAGAGTAATATTTTATTTTAATCAATTTTAAACTCAACAATGGAATACTAAAAATATATACAACAGTGCAAAACTTAAGAAAAATCTTAACACATCAGTTACGTAGAAAATGGAACAGCAAATAATCATGTGTTTAACCCGTAAACGGTCCAAACGTATATACACGTTTTTTCAACATTTGAAAGTATGTAAAAAAAGTAGATCTTTTTTTTTTTACATTTGAAAGTGTAAAAAACTTTGATCTACTTTTTTTTTTTTTGTTATACAGTGGTCCCCCGCTTTTCATAGTACCCGGCAATCGTAAAATTCGCCAATCATAGAGGTATTTTCGTATAAACATGGACGCACTTTTCATAGGTTGACTCGCGAGTCGTAGTTCGTCCGGGACGCGTACCCACGGCATGAGCCAGGGCGGCAGCCAGTCTGGCATTGTTTACCAGTGAGCGAAGGTCCCCTCACGTGCTCCAGCAAAATATTTCATAATATTCCATTTATTTTAGTGCTTGCAAGTACTAAATAAGCTACCATGGCTCCAAAGAAAGCTCCTAGTGCCAAGCCTGTGGTAAAGAAGGTGAGAAATACGATTGAATTTAAGAAAACCATCATTGAACAATATGAAAGTGGTACAAGTGTGGCCGAACTGTCCAGATGTATAAGAAAAACCCTACACAACCTTATGTTCCATAGTGGCCAAGAAAAATGAAATAAAGGATGCTGTTGTTGCAAAGGGAGTAACTATGCTGACAAAAATGAGATCACCAGTACTGGAAGAGGTTGAGAAGTTATTATTGGTGTGGATAAATGAGAAACAATTAGCAGGAGATACTCTTATGACTTCATTTATTTGTGAAAAGGCTAGGCAGTTGCATGAAGATTTGGTAAAGAAATTGCCTGCAAATAGTGGTGAAGTGAGTGAATTTAAGGCCAGCAAAGGCTGGTTTGAGAGATTTAAGAACCGTACTGGCATACACAGTGTGGTAAGGCATGGTGAGGCTGCCAGTTCGGACCACAAGGCAGCTGAAAAATATGTGCATAAATTCCAGGAGTACATAGAGGCTGAAGAACTGAAACCTGAACAAGTGTTCAATTGTGACGAAACAGGCCTCTTTTGGAAGAAAATGCCAAAGAGGACCTTCATTACACAAGAGGAAAAGGCAATGCCAGGACACAAGCCTATGAAAGACAGGCTGATGCTAATGTTCTGTGCTAATGCTAGTGGGGATTTCAAAGTGAAGCCATTACTAGTGTACCATTCTGAAAATCCCAGAGTGTTCAGGAAAAACAATGTTATGAAGAGTAAAATTGTGTTGTGTTTTGGAAATCTAATAGAAAGGCATGGGTCACGAGGGAAATTTTCGTCGAGTGGTTCAATGAAGTGTTTGGCCCTAGTGTGAAGGAGCATCTCCTGGAAAAGAAATTGGATCTCAAGTGCCTGCTAGTAATGGACAATGCACCTGCTCATCCTCCAAACTTGGATGACCTAATTTTCGAGGAGTTTTGGGTTCATCACAGGAAAGTTCTTGCCCCCGAATACCACTCCTCTCCTCCAACCCATGGACCAGCAGGTTATTGCAAACTTTAAAAAACTCTACACAAAAGCAATGTTTCACAGGTGCTTGACTGTGACCACAGACACTCACTTGACCCTAAGGGAATTTTGGAGAGAACACTTCAGCATCCTCCACTGCATAACCCTTATAGGTATGGCTTGGGAGGGAGTGACTACCAGGACTTTGAACTCTGCCTGGAGAAAATTGTGGCCAGATTGTGTCGACAAGAGGGATTTTGAAGAATTTGGGACTGACCCTAATGAGCCTATGTCTGTTGTAAAATCAATTGTGGCACTGGGGAGTTCCATGGGGTTGGATGTGAGTTTGGAGGATGTGGAAGAATTGGTGGAAGACCACAATGAAGAGCTCACCACTGAGGAGCTGCAAGAGCTTCAGCAGGAAGAGCAAACACATCACAGCTCAGAATCTTGCTGCAGAGGAGGAGGAAGAGAGATGGAAGAAGGTGCCTTCTTCAGAATTAAAGAGATTTTTACTATGGGGGTAAGATGGAAAGCTTTATGGAGAAACATCACCCTAACAAGGTTGTTGCAAGCCAGGTTGGCAAACATGTACAGTGACAAAGTCTTGGGCCATTTTAGGGAAGTGTTAAAGAGATGCCAGAAACAGAGCTCTCTCCACAGTTATTTTGTGAGACAAGACTCCAGTGACTCTCAAGGTGGTCCTAGTGGCATTAAGAAACAGAGAAGAGAAGCAACCCCAGAAAAGCAAATGGTACCTGAGGTGTTGATGGAAGGGGATTCCCCTTCCAAACTATAAACAATCCACTCTCTCTCCTCCTCCAGTCTCCCATACACTAAGAAGAATCTCCAATAAAGGTAAGTGTTATGCTGTTAATGTTTCATTCATCATTTCCCATTGTATTGTTTATGTACTACATGCATATTTCATGTTAAAAATTTTTTTGTTTTAATACTTCTGGGTGTCAGGAACGGATTAATTGTATTTACATTATTTCTTATGGGGAAAATTGATTCGTAAATCATAAATTTCGTTTATAGTAACAGCTCCAGGAACGGATTAATTATGAACAACGAGGGACCACTGTATTTGAAAATATGTAAAAAAAAACATAGATCTACTTTTGTAGCACTACACATGTGAACGTAGATCTGCTTGGACCGTTTACGGGTTAATTACTGGGAAATGATGTCTACTCCATACTTTCACTTACCATATGTATGTAATAAGAATATGAGGACATTCATTACTAAATTTAAAAACCACATTAATATGTTAGGCTTTGGTTCTGAGTAAATTTAATAATACAAAGTAATGTTAACTGCTATGCAGAACTGACTGGTAGTAAACTGGTCAGAAAACAGTGCATCTACTATCTAAGAACTGCAACAAAAGTGCATATTAAATCCAGTTAAAAATCAGCCATTGCTATGTTTACAATAGAAAAATAAAAGCTAAAACTCCTAGTTCACCCAGCAGGCATGAAATACATAGTGTATACCTGGAGAGGGCTTCGGGGGTCAATGTCCCCTCGGCCCGGTCTGAGACCAGGCCTCATGGTGGCTCAGGGTCTGATCAACCAGGCTGTTACTGCTAGCTGCACATAAACCAATGTACAAACCACAGCCCAGCTGATCAGGTACTGACTTTAAGTGATTGTCCAGCACCTTCTTGAAGACAGCCAGGGGTCTATTGGCAATCCCCTCTTATGTATGCTGAGAGGCAGTTGAACAGTCTTGGGCCACTGACACTTACTGTGTTGTCTCTTGACATAATCATGGTGCCCCTGTTTTTTATTGGGGGAATGTTGCATCTCATGCCGAGTCTTTTGCTTTCGAAGGGAGTGATTTTCATGTGCAAGTTTGGCACTAATCCCTCTAGGATTTTCCAAGAGTATATTATCATGCATCTTTCTCACCTACATTCCAGGGAATACAAATCAAGGGACTTCAAATATTCCCAGTAATTCAGATGCTTTATCATACTTATATGTACTGTGAAAGTTTTCTGTACACTCTCCAGGTCAGCAATCTCATCTGCCTTGAAGGGGGCAGTTAGTGTACAGCAGTACGTATTCCAGCCTAAAGAGAACAAGCGATTTGAAGAGAATCATCATGGGCTTGGAATCCCTGGTTTTGAAGGCTCTCATTATCCACTCTATCAATTCTGTAGCAGATGAGGTAGATACAGTGTTGTGGTCTTTGAAGGTGAGATCCTCCGACATTATCACTACCAAGTCTTTCACATTACTTTTTCGCTCTGTTGTGTGGTTAGAATTTGTTGTACACCCTGATTACAGTTTTAATTTCCTCAAGTTTTCCATATCTGAGTAGCTGAAATTTCTCTTCATTGAACTTCATATGGTTTTCAGTGACTCATTTGAAGATTTGATTGATGCCCACTTGGAGTCTTGCAATGCCTTCAATTTAGGACACTGTCATGGCAATTCGGGTGTCGTGTAAGACTAGCAGTGTAAAGGGCCTTAGTAAATTTCTTCATCTTGCTATAATACTTTGCTGCCTAATCAATCAACCACAACATTAACTGCATTAATTCCACTTGAAAGTATAAATCATGGACTATGCAAATGTTCCAAGTGCATTTCCAGCCTATGTTATCTACTGCATAGGAACCAACATACAGTAGACCGTCATTTAACATAGTAGTTACGTTCCTGAAAATGGTGTGTCAGGTAAAACTCTGTCAGACGAACTGAAGAACTTATGGGAAAAATAGGGTTATGTTCGTCAGAGCCCCAAAAAAGCCAAACAACTTTTATTTAGGCCTCCACATCTTATAAAAATAAAAGTGAATATGTAATTGTAGTTCATTGTTGTGATGTATTATGTTGTTTTTTATTGCTTAAGACTACAAATGTATTTCTTACCTTAAATTGTGGGCGCTGGTGTTTGTGGATGATTGTGAAGAGAGTGGAGAGGTTTGCTGTGGCCCTACTGGTCTGAGGTGGATGGTAGAGGTTCTGGTACTGAAGTCGATGATTGTACTGGAGTGTCTAACTTTAAGTCAGTCAGTCAGTCATGCCAGTAAGATATTCAGTCAGTCAAGTCATTCAGTCAAGTCAATAAGTCATTCTGTCAGGTCAGTAAGTCATTCAGTCAGTCAAGTCAGCAAGTCATTCAGCCAAGTCAGTAAGTCATTCAGTCAGTCAAGTCATTCAGTCAGTCAAGTCATTCAGTCAAATCAGTAAGTCATTCAGTCAAGCCATTCAGTCAGTCAGTCAGTCAAGTCATTCAGTCACTCAGTCAAGACAGTAAGCCATTCAATAAAGTTAGTCAAGTCAGTAAGTCATTCAGTCAAGTCAGTAAGTCATTCAATCAAGTCAGTAAGCCATTCAATCAAGTCAGTATGTCATTCAGTAAAGTCAGTAAGTCATTCAGTCAAGTCAGTAAGTCAAGTCAGTAAGTCATACAGTCAAGTCATTCAGTCAATTCAGTAAGTCAATAAG